GACAGTTGAAACAAAGTGTATGGTGCATCTTGTTAGATTCCAAAATTTTATTGGACTCTAATTGGTCTAGGTGAGTGACTTGGAATCTATTTGGATTCATCAAAAATCTGGAATACTGTCAAGGAATTTTATGGTAGATGAGTAGTCTACTGGAGAAAAGAAAAATAGGTCAATTAGAAATTGAAAGTTAAAGGTTTAGAAATTTTAAAGAATCACAAGAAAGCATATTGTAGCACGGTTCATTTGGAGGTTGTCTTTTTACCATTCTACAAGGCTTAAGATAGTTTTTAGAGCATACTGAGTTTGATTATAAGTTTGCTGGTGTTGTGTAGAGTTTGGTCCTTTTACAAGCAATTAGAGGACTTGTAGGCAAGGAAACTGCACTTTAGGATTTAACTTGAATTTCCAGATGGTGACATGAGGAACTAGTATTGCATCTTTTAGGATTCTATGTAATTTAGGTGAGTTACTTGGCATTTATCTGTGGGTTTGTACAAATTTCGAGTATTGTCAATGACTTATTGTAGATAAGTAGTATTGTGCTGGAATTAACGGATAAAATAAAACTGGTATTTCAAAAAATGGGACTTAGCTTCTATAAATGCTAGAGATTTACAATAGCAAGCTATTCCAAGGTCCATTTAGAGGTTGTTTTCAGTTTAAGGCAGTGAGCAAACCTTAACATACTAGGCTTGGTAAAAACTTAGGTGAATTGTACAGAGTTTCTTCCTATATTGGACTCTTATGCATTGTTGTTGAAGTTTAGCATTTGATTTGAGCAGTCAAATGGATAGAAGGTGGAATAAAATATATGCACATCTTGTTGGATTCTTAAACATTGTTGGACCCTAATTAATCTAAGTGAGTTACTCAGAATCTATTTGGGTTGTTAAAGACTTGAAATATTGTTAAAAACATAGTAGTGTTCTGCAGGAAAGACGAAAGGTCAATTTGAAACTGATATTTAGGTTCTAGATATCCCAAGAATTAGAAGAAAGCATATTTCAGCAAGGTTCTATTATAGGTTGTTTTTTAACATTCTACAGCCTTTATGGCAAAGTGTAACAAGAACATACTAACTTTACTAAGAAGTTGGTAGATTTATCTAGAGTTGAGTTCCTTTATGGCAAATATAGGACTCTTATGTAAGGGCGTTGCACTTTTAGGGTTTAACTTGAATATTCAGATGGTTTATATGTGCTTGTTAGATTCTGAGATTTAGTTGGATTCTATCTCATGACGGTGAATTACATCTATTTGGGTTGTTAAGTATCTGGAATATTGTCAGTCTGTTTTATGGTTGATAAGTAGTGTTATGGAGAAAAGAAAAAAAGGTTTTCTAGAAACTGTCTCTTGGTTTCTAAAATCCCAAGAATTACCAGAAAGCATATAACACCCAAGGTTCATTTGGAGGTTGTTTTTTACCATGCTACCGGGTTTATCGCAATAAGTAACAAGAACATACTAATTTTATTAAAATATCTGTTTAATTGTGCAGAGCTTAGTTCATTTGATTGCAAATATAGGATCCTTATGTAAATGCATTGGATTTTAGGATTTAAATTGAATATTCAGATCAGGATACTAGGAATTATGTATTGCATCTTTTTGGATTTTGAGATTATGTTGGATTGTATGTAATGAAAATGAGTTATTTGGAATTTATTTGTGGGTTTGTTATAATGTTGGACTATTGTAAATAGTTTTATGGTAGATAAGTAGTGCTCTGGTGAAACAAATGCAGAAAAGAAAGAAATGTTAATTAGAAACCGAAACTCAGGGTCTAGATAATTTGAAGAGTTACAAGAAAGCATATTGCACCCCATGGTTCATTTGGAAGTTGTTTTTTGGACCAGTCTACATGGTTTAAGGCAAAGAGTAATAAGAAATTAGTGGAACCGTGCAGAGTTTTGTTCCTTTGCAGGCAGAAATTTGACTGTTGTCTAAGGAGGTCACAGCGTGGGGTTTAAATTGACTATTTAGATGGTGACAATAAGGAAGAAAAGTATTTTGCATCTTGTTGGATTTTGGTAGTGTATTACGGAATTAAAGTTAATCTAGTTGAGTAACCTGGAAATTATTTGTGGGCTCGTTATGAATTTGGGAGATTGTTTAACAAAATTTTATGTGAAATAAGTGGTCTTCTGATGAAATAAATTGGTGATAAAAAGGGTGTCACTAGAAACTGATGCTCAGGTTTTGGAAATTCTTTATTTTTTTTTGTCAAAACGATATTGTATTAATAAAACTTGATACTACAAAAGTTCTACAAATGTGGGCAACTGCCTATCAGATCATCTTGTGCCATCTGTTTGAGCCACAGGGGAAAGCTAAGCTTCCACATTATATTCTTCACTAATGTTGATGCAAATTTTGCTACATAATGACTCAGAGAATTCCTTTTCCCACTAACAAACTTGAACTTGCAAACCGAAAACCAATCTGCTAACGGAATGATGTCTTCCACTATAGTTGTCACTGTGTGGTCCTCAGTTCTTCTTTCTTTTATCATGTTGACCACATTTTTACAGTCAGATTGCAATTCAATTTTCGCTTATCCTGCATCTTTTGCCATCAGCAAAGCCTGTTTAATTGCTACAGCTTCTTCCACTATTGCTCTTCCTTTCTTTAGTTCCTGCACTACCCTCACTTCTACTAGTTCCTCTTTCCAGTTTCTTGCAACTATCCCAAGTCCTGTTCTGATCTTCTTTGCAGACACAGCAGCATCCTGTTAATTCTTATTGTATCACACTGGAGAGGAGTCCATCTTTGGTTCATCATTTGTTGTCTTGGTTGGTCCTCTATTTTCTCCAGATTCCCCTTGTTTACCTCTGTGTATTCCGTCCATTTTTTTCTGAGCTCTCCTGATGGTTGATTTGCTGTCCATTATCTTGCCCTCGAACATGAATTTGTTTCTTGCTTTCCATATTTGCCAATGTATATTGACTGTGAGTTCCAAGTGCCCCTCTCTATTCTCCACTTTGCATGCATCTATAAGACATTCCCACCATCTCCAAAAATTAAACCTCAGATCATTCAAGCCTTCAATGGTGGTAATTTCCATGTCTGTTGCACATTGGTGCAAGAAAAGAACACGTGTTCAAGAGTTTCTACTTCCTCTCTGCAACATGTGCACATAGGATCACCCATTTTTGTTCTATGGAATATGCATTCTTGAACCGGGAGTACTCTTGTAAGCTTTTCCAGAAAAAATGTTTATGCTTATGTTTAATGTTTAGGTTCCACAAACCTTTCCAAACTTTATCCTTCCTAGGTCCAGTACTAGCCTCATGCTTTCCTTTTTCACACTGGAGTTTCTTCTTCCTCTGCTTAGCTAGAGCATAGCCTGTTTTCACAGTATACACCCCATTGCCCTCTTCTGTATCACGTAGCCACTTATTATTCCATTTATCCACTGTATTCTTGTCTCCAGTCCTCTTCATTATTCCTTTGGCTAGCAATTCTCTTGCATTGGATATACTTTTCCATACCCAAGAATCACTGTTCTTTACCTTGCTTTCAAAAAGGTTTCTATCTCTCAAATACCTGGCTCTGATTACTATGTCATGCTTCAAGCTTCCAAGGAGCCTGTGTAAGGAGATCTGTAAAAGAATTGCAAATTTTTAGTGGGGAAATGGTGAATACGGACAAAGAATGCACTGGATGAGTTGGCACAAGATCACTGAAACTAAAGGAAATGGTGGACTTGGGTTCAGGGACCTAGAAAACTTTAATGAAGCTCTCCTGGCCAAACAATGTTGAAGGATTTTAATTAGGCTTTGATTTTTTCCTAATGACAAGACGCATAACCTGCTTTTAGTTTCACTGTACACCATCTGCCTTCATTTGGAGGTCTGGGTCATTTCTATTTTCTTTTTGTTTATTAGAATTGTTGGTTTAACAGTGTATGTTTGCCAGTCAACAGTGTCTCTACTCATTTGTCTCTTATATCTTTTATCACTTAGGAACTCTTGAATGAAAATCTTACTGCCTATCTTAAATGAGTAGGCCGCTCTTTTCCCTCCAGATTTCCTTTCAGATGGTCACACAGATTCTGGCTTTATTGCTGACTCCAACATTTTCTCCCACTTTTTCCTTACATGGAATTATGTTGCTAAACTTGTGTCCTTTGCTTTTCTTTATAATTTTTGGAATCCTTGCTTTCTTGACAATTATACCTTGATTTCCGTTCATCTGCTGCCCATTTGTTCTTCATACATAAATAGGAGTTAATCTGGGTATGCCCTGTTTCTGAAAAGTGTAATTTCATAGTATAGTTCTATATGCATGGTTGTCTTCTACTTCAAGGTAGGAGTAGGGCTTCTTATGGCTTTGTTTTTTGTCCTGCTTTTCCTTCTCATATTCGATTGTCCATGGTCAATAAATACATGTTGGAAACTGAAATAGAAAGATATAATCCTTGGAGGACATGATTTTTGAACTCTTCTTGTAGGTTTAGAATGTGTTTTACCCATTTTTCTGGATATCCATATATCTCTCTGGTTATGCTGAAATCATTTAAACAGAACAAAAGAAACTTCTGGATCTCTTAAAATGGACATAGTTGATTTATTATTCATTTACTGGTAAATAGGATAAACAGTTATTACTGGTAAGTTCTTCAATTTCAACTTTCAAAATACCTGCATGATCTGTCCTCTTTATAAGAGTTCTTATTTCTTAGAATTTCTTTACAACTCACATTCAAAAGATACATTGGAGGGAAAAAAAGTATCATGATATAACTAATGCTTTGATATGACTTAGCGATTTTCTATGCTGTTCATTTGGACTATTGGACATTGTTGTACCTTCTTTGACATAGCGTCTGCAAGTCATATCTTGGGGAAGAACTTTCAGCTTCCTGACAGCCCAGAGGGATGGGCCTTTCTATCCATCACGACTTGTCTTCTAGTCCGATTTTCCTCTTCAATTTTCTTCAAATTTTTTCATGGACCAATTACTCATTTCATGGCCTGTCATTTGGTTTCATGTCTTAGGTAAAGCTCCCACTATTTAGGTGATATCCCATTCTCCCATTTATGTCTCATCTCCATATCAGTGGGCCAAGAATTCACAAAGCTGCATACAAAGGCTGTTAGTTGATCTATGAAGTCCCTCCAATCCTCTAAGCGCGTAAGAATGAACTCCTAAGATTAAAACATCATCAATCTCAAATTTGCATTCTTGATTCTTGTAATTTAAATTTTGGCTCTATTGAAAACCCTTCATTTTGTTACTATCCATTGCACTCTCTTAAGTCCTGGAGGAGCCAATAGCGCATGCCTATCTCCTTTTTTTTCTGGAAATTGAAATCCAGAAATTTTTTGGGCCCTCACTACGGTAGACATCATCCGCTTAATTCTAGTATGTTCATTAGTCTTTATCAACAATCTACAGCTAATTCCCAATCAGATTTCAAATTGTCTAGTGTGAGTTTTTATTGCCTTCGTTGGGTTTTGGCCTTTAATGTTATGTGGCATAGTTTGAAAATATAAATTGATCGCATGGACTGAGTGTGCACTTTGTTTCATAGTTCAGTGTAAAAATGATTAAAATCAATACAAGTATTAATCAAAGCATTTAAAGTAGGCTTCATGTAATTATTTACTAAATATTTTGGCCTCATATAGTATAGTTGCTTAACTCAAGACACCTTATGGTTTAAATGACGTGCCGTTTGCCCTATATGGCTTATTTCATCTACTCATATACCTTTCTATTATATAGGGAATGGGTTCTTTTTTTGTAAGCCAAAAAGGGATAGATGGTACCATATGGAGTCTTTTAAGTCTTTCAAGTACGCTATCTGCAGCCAAAATTCTTTAGTGAATATTTCTTTATTGCCTACATTAAAATCTTTGGCTATACTTTTAATGATTTTATAGACATATTGAGACTGAAACATGAAAGCTAACTGCACAATCAGTACTTGGGTCAGTTTATATTTTTTGAACTATGCTGCTCATCAGTAGAGATTGAAACCCGATAGAGAGAATAATGGCTCACAGTAGAAAGTTTTAGTTTTGATTTAGAAATGGCTGTAGATTGTTGTCAGGGACAAATGAACTTTTGAAATGAAGTAGGTGATTCTTGGGGTAGTGAGAGCCTAAAAATACTGGATTTTAATTTCTAGAAAAGAGGAGATAGGTGCGCAATTGACTTCTCTAAAAATGAGGGTGCCATGGATACAGACAAAGGCTTTCATTTTTTATATTGTTTGGGTCTAAAGAGTTTGCTCTTGTGTGTTCTGATTCTTGGAAGGACTTCACTGGTCAACTGGACAGGCCTTTGTACCTCTTAGGCGAGCACGTTGCACTTTAGTGTTTAAGTTGAATATGATATGAGGAACTAAGTAGAGCATCATTTTGGATTTCTGAGATTTTTATGGATTTTGTCTTGTCTAGATGAGTTACTTGGAATATATCTGTGAGTTTGTTACAATTTTGTGGCATTGTGGTCAAATAAATGGAGAAGAAATAAATTTTAATTATAATTGAAACTCAGGTTTTAGAAATTACAGACATTTGCAAGAAAGCATATTGCGCTTAGATTCAAGTGGAGGATATTTTTGACCATTCCACAAGGTTTCTGGCAAAGAATGCTCAGAATATACTAGGTTAGTAAGAACTTAGGTAGATTTGTAGAGTTTTGCCCTTTTGCATGCAAATATAGGATTCATAGGTAAGGATGTTGCACTTTAGGATTCACAGGTAAGGATGTTGGACTTTAGGGTATTGGATATTCAAATGGTGAAAGAAGCAACAGAGTATCTGCATGTTGTTGTGATTCTAATTAGTATAGGTGGGTTACTTAGAGTTTAATTGTGGGTTGTTGAATATATTTGGAATATTACCAATTGATTTTGTGATAAATGAGCTGTGTTCTGGTCAAACAAATGGGGAAAAGAACAAAGGCATTTAAAATAGAAACTTAGGTTTAAAAAATCCCAAGAATAATTGCAAGTAAGCGGTTCATTTGGAGGTGGTTTTTTTTTTTTTTAACCACACTACTGGGCTTAATGCAATGATTAAGCATTTAATACTAAGTTTGTTTAGAAGTTTGCTGGTGCTGCGCAGAGCTTGGTTCCTTTGCCGGCATTAGAGGACTTGTATACAATGACGTATTGCATCTTTTTGGATTCTATCTAATTTTAGGTGAATTACTTGGGATATATTTGTGGGTTTTTCTTTTACAAATTTTGGGCATTGTCAATGATTTTATGGTAAATAAGTAGCCCTGGGGTGAAATAAACAAAGAAAGTAAAATGGAATGGGGGATTTGATAGTCGGATTCTAGAAATTCCTGAGATTTAAAAGAAAGCATAGAGTTCGGTCCTTTTGCGGGAGTTTTATTTGAGTATTCAAATGGATGGCGGGGGCCGAAAATATTATATGCATGTCTTCTTGGATATTGAGATTTGGTTGGATTTTAATTAATCTAGGCGGGTGACTTGGAATCTGTTTTGGTTTTATTAAAAATCTTCAATATTGTTAATGTATATTATGGTGGATAAGTACCGTTCCAGAGAAAAGAAAATAGGCCAATTAGTAACTAAAACTTAGGTTCTAGAAATCCCAAGACTTACAAGAAAGCCTTTTGCAGGAAGATTCACTCGGAGGTTGTATTTTCACGATTATACAAGGCTTTAGGCAAAGGGTAACCAGAATATACTAAATTGTGCTTAGAAATTTGCTGGTTTTGTGCAGAGTTTGGTACCTTTGCAGGCAATTAGATGACTCATATACAAGGATGTTGTACTTTGGGATTTATCTATGGGCTTGTTACTAATTTTTGAGTGTTGCATGGTAGATAAGTAATTTTGTGGTGAAATTATAGGAAATGATGCTGGTATTCAAATCTGAATCTCAGCTTCTAGAAATTATAGAGATTTACAAGAAAGGTTCATTAGGGGTTGCTTTTGGTAATTCTACAAGGTTTAAAGCAAAGAGTACCAGTACATACAAGGCTTAGAAGTTACGTGAATTGTGTAGAGTTTTGTCCTTTGCGTGCAAATATTGGACTCTCATTTTCTGACGGTGCTGGACAACACAACAGGTTAATGCCTCGCCGAAAGGCCTCGGCTACGTGGGGACACCACAACAGGTTATTAAAGCAGCCTAGGACTTCCTCGCCGAATTAATATATGAGAATTCTGAATTCAATACCAACGAAAGGTTGGCAACTTTGATATATATATATTGCCCAAGAAGAAGAAAGTGTCGGATATTACGAGATGAAATTGTTATTTGATAATGGTTCTATTTTGACATGGAAGACTTGGGCTTTTGTTGTTAGGACTCGTCTCTATTGCTTGGATTACTATTTTTAAGAGATATATTTTCGAATAATTTTTTTTTTTTTTTGTGATAACTAACAATCCAAACATGATGACATAATTGGTACATGATTGCAACATTTTATGTTCGCCCCAATCAAAGCGTAGCACTTTCGGATAGCCCAACAAAATGGGTTTATTTATTCTGGACCAGATCATCGCAACTGTAAGGCTTACATTCTAAATAGACCCGTCGACATTTGGTACACAGGTTACAAGTTTGCTAGTGTTGTGCACTTTTGTACGTTAAATAGAACATACTACGTTTAGTTCTGGTTTTCCAAGAGGAAAAAAAAAAGAAAAAAAAAGAAATTCAAGGAAAAAAGAGACCTTAGTTATTCAAGTATCCATTTTCTATTACTTGTTTGTTAAACAAGTAACAGATTACGTAATATATAAGCCATTCATAAATATAACAAGAACTTTATATAAATTTCAAAAACTCATCTTATTTAATTTGCATGTTGATCATGTCCTACCAGGTAACATTAAATGAAAATTGGAATTAACCAGGCACAATTCAATCATGGATTCCACTTCAAGAACAATCTAAGAGCAAGATATTTGACTGCTAATAGGTTTAAAGGGGTATTGATTATCGGCTGCATAATTGAAACTGAAATTGCCGTGTGTAACACCATAATAGATCGGTTGGCCACCGTTAACGAGGCAAGACCCGTCGCCATTATGAGACAAGACGGCGGGATTAATCTTTTCAAAGCTTTGAAAGCCGGAGCAGGATAGCTTGACCTGGGTCTGAGTGCAAGTGCAATCGTTAAAGATGGTGAGTTTGAACTCCGGCTTGGATTGTACCTTTGCTCCTGTTGGAGCCTGCAATATGATCAGACTTGATAGAGAGCATACATACATATTATTATTAAACTAATGATGAAATGCATGCATCAAAAAACATGTAAATACATGCATTGTATGTCTAAAGCGGACCAGCCAAAAGTTTTGAAGTTGATAACACTACTATTTTATCTCCTACTTGAAAAAAAAAAGATGTTTTCAAGTATAGTTTTTAATGAAAATTTATCAATACAAATATTTAATTTCTTTTTTTTTTCAAAATTAAACGTGCACCTGCTCGACACAGCTTGCACACGCGTGTATATATATATATATATATATATATGTATATGTACAGTTTCTATGATTCTTTTCAAAATCTACCGCAGTTGATATAGTGATGCATTTAGAAATTGTACCTGCGCTCAATAGACCAAGAAAGAGAGGCAAGCAAAGGATCTTGAAAATGGCTGACATCTTCTTTGTTCGTCTCTTTTCAAAGATTCTGAATCTTAAAGTGTGCTACTTTTATTTGCATATGCATAAGAGAACTTGGAAATTTATACATGCAAGACTTTCAGATGTATATGGAAAAACGAGCATTGGAGGGTAAGAATTAATTTGCATGCGAAGGGGAATCCATATACATGGGATGGTATATTCACAGTCGACCAGCTTCAAAGGTGTCTATCTGGTTATCAATGAAACAATTAAGACGCCAAAGATTTTTGCTAAAAAACAAAGAAAGAATCTCTCCATGCATATAAACCTGATTATATTTCATTAAATTAGATATTTTATTATATCAACGGTGTATTTGACACATTTCATTTATTTTTCTTTAATAAGAAAAATAAACCCGATATTATTTTTTCTTAACGGAAGGACTCGTTAAGAGAGGCATTAGGTGATCAATTTGGTGTTTTCTTTTTTTTTTTTCTATGTATGTTAAAGTGACTAAACACAGATAATGGAATTAATGTGATTGCGTGCACTTATATAGCAAATGAGATACAATTGTCAGGAAAATCCTTTAAAAGATGGAGAGTTATTAATGTACCTTTGATTGACATCCCAAAATTCCAATTCTTGTGATTTCATATCATTTCTATTTAAAATGTTCCAGATTGAATTGTTTTAAATGTTAAAAGAAGATTCTCAGTAGCACATTAATTCCCTTGATTTCTGTATTTAAAAGGCAATCGCTTTCTGTTTATGTTTGATTCTCATTAATTTATTTCCCGCAATGATTTGTATCCTCATTTATAGATCTCTTTTCATTTCCTAATTTTTCCCTATATTTTAACCTAAGTTCTTCTCGACAGCAAGTTCGGCCATATTTCGGACTGGACATTTTTTGCAATCACAACATGGGGTGTTTTTGGCCCACCCATTTTTTTGAAACGACTTTTACAACATCCAGCTCCGTTTTAACAAGCCCAAAATCCATCCAAAGCTACCCATTTGTTGCTGTAGCAATAGATTAAATGGCCAATTTCGTCCCTAAATTTCTTTTTAATGTCAATGTGGTTCCTATGTAATTTTTTGGTCAATTTAATCCCTATACTTATTTAGCGGTTCCAATTAAGGAATGTCGTGGCGGCGCTACCATGTAATTTTGATCAAATTTCTAATTGAACAACTAAGCAGGGGTAGTTCGTGTACTTCACTGTTGGGGCCATAAGATAAGAAGAAAAATTGAAGGGAAAAAAAAAACTCAAGAAGCAGTGACATAACAACTCTAAAAGCTCGATTGTTGTTAGAGCCATCCAAAATAATTTCTGGTTGCCACTATCATCTGCCACCAGGCCCACCACCACCGCCGCATATCTTTCTTGTATATGCAAATCAGAATCTTGCTTCAAACAAGGCTGGAGAAGGAACCCGGATGAGCCATCAGATTCAGCCTTGGATCATCCCATCCCTTAAAGTTTGGACAAATAAGCTCCCAAAGTTTACCGAAAAAGGGAGGAAGTTTACCGAAAAAGGGATGTGATGTGTGCATGAACCAGGGCCCAGTCCAAGTCCCATTAGGCCCAGTCACACGGGCACGGGCCAAGCTATTCAAGGAATCCCTCCAAGCCCTTGTTCGAGTTGTCCACGATCAACATGGAGGCTATAGAGATATTGAAGGCTTGGAAAGGATCAATCAAGCAACTTGCATTTTGGTCCAAGCCCAGGAAGACTCCAGTGGGCCTCCTTACGAATCGGCCGAGTAGGGCCTTAGTCGTTGTTTCCATTTTGGTTGGACTAATTGTCCGTAGAAGGCTTGAGGCCGGCCCACCTTGATGACAAGGTAGCCGACCTCCCCTTTAGGTTTTTTTTAGGGTTTTTAGTTGTTTCATTAAGCCTATAAATAGGCTAGCCTTGTAAGGTTAAAAGTTAGTTTTTGGATGAATTAAATTCTTAGTGCATTCGTTTTCTTTCATAAAGAATTCGTGCCTTTCAACTTGCTTGGCAAGGGTTATTGAGCAATCTCGCGTCCTGTCCTAGATTGTTCATCCGACCTATTCCCCTGGAGTATTCACCTTCTTCGGAGTGTCGTCTACCATCTTCAATCAAATCGTGTTGTCCGTTTGATTAGAGGTTCCGCTATCCAAGCGTTGGACATCCCCGCTAGATCTTTGGGCAAACGTGCTACGTGTCTCGACCGTGGATCGAGGAGCGTATCAGTTGGCTTCAGAGCTTTGGTGGAGGTATCTTCCGTTATATCCGTAGTTGTGTCTTAGTTTTTCATTATTTCCGCTGCCTTGTTTTACAAAAAAAAAAAAAAACTGTTCGTTGTTTTGTTGTGCCGTTTCCTTCGTTTTTGCCTAGAAATTCTGGTCGTTGTTTTTTTTGATTGAGTTCGTATCCATATCTGTTCGTTTGTGTCTTCAAGTCTGTCCGTTGCTGCTTTGCTAGTCAAAAACAAAAAAAAAAAAAAAAAAAATTCTGTCCGCTTGTTCTTGTTGTTTGTCGCGTCAAATTTCTGGACAGCTGTGTGTTATTGTTGTTAGTCCCAATCTGCCCAGATTTCATACTCTAGTGACATCCATTCTGGCCAGCAATTAGCCTTGCCGAATCTGCACACAAAGAGAGAAAAAAAAAAAAAACAAGTTGCGGCTAGGGTTCCAAGTTGCGGCTAGGGTTTCCTAAATCTTTGCGCTAGGGTTGTCTTTGTTGTCAATCTGTCCAAGTTTTGTTTGGGTCATCCAAGCTGTTTTAATTAGTTTTCTAAACTGACTTGTGGATCAAACTTGTTGGAGTTGAGAATCTTTAAGGAAACTACAACCATCTAGGGTTTCTTGAGTTCTTGGAATTAAATCTTGAATTTCTTGAAAGCTCTTGGCGAATCTTGGAGTTGTTTGACTGATTAGTTGTAGTACGTAGGGCTGACCAGAAATCTGGTTGGTGAACCTTTTTTTCCCGTCCAGGTTTAGTTGCAGTTGTTAAGTTTTTTTTTTTAAAAAAAAAAAAAAAAAAGAGAGCGAACAAAGAGACACAAAACAGAAACGCAAAAGACAAGAGAGAAAGAAAGGAAACATTCGGCCAACAAGAAACCAAGAAGGAAGCCGTAACTCTTTATTGTCAAATCTGTCTTGTTATTTCTTGTTTCAAACCAGAAAATTACATCAAGAAAAGAAAAGAATTCGAAAGTTTTGGCCAACCAGAAAATTACATCAAGAAAAGAAAAGAATTCAAAAGTTTTGGCCAACCTCTTCTTGAAATTCTTGGTTACCTTGAGCCTTGATCACTTGAACAACCTTTGTTTGAGGTTCTTGATTACCTTGAACTTTAAACACTTGCACTTCCCTTCGCACAAAGAGTTTCTTGTAAGACCTTGCATCCATACGTGGCTTTCTTGGTTGAGGGGTGAACTTCTTGGGAGATTCTTGAGTCACATCACTTGCATGGCCTTGGGAGTCCATTAGGAGCCGAATTTCTGGAGCAATAAAAGCCAAATCTGTCTTGTAAGGGAGAGGGCCGAATTGCTGGTTCTTGGGGTAGAGAGGGAGTCGAACTCCTTGGGTGAAGAAAGCGGCTGTGAGAGGAGGTTTAATAGGAAGTAGTAGCCGACTTGGGGAAGGATTAAGAAGGGAGATTTCTGGAAAAAAAAATTCGAAGAGAAAGGAGAGAGGGAACCGAATCTGTTTGGGGGGGGGGGAATTAGAAGTTGCTTAAAAGAGGTCTTCAAGGGGGTTACCAACTCTAACTTGCTTTCCAACTTAGTTTAGGAGACTAAGTACAACACTTGGATAACACTTGGACACCTTCCTACATTTTCTCCTCCATTTTAGGATATCCT